ATGGAATGTATGAGATAAGAGAAATGAGGTTTAGTATCTTAGTACCAAAAAAAAAATTATTTCCAATGATGCTTGGATAGATGGTTATAATGATGTTTGGATGCTTCAGAAAGATAGTCATTGGTCTCCATGGACTTGGTAACGAAAACATGGATCAAGGATAGGTAAAAAGATACTACATTTGTTACCAAAGAATAAGGTGCCATTGTAACATCTATTTCTAAAGTTAATGCTTTAAGCTATTTTATGTTTAATTACTTACATGACTTTCAAATAGCCATTGGACTAACTACTAGCCAATATCTCAAGTGACAATGAAGAGATGGCCCACAAATTTAACAACTCAAAAAGATGTTCAAGAAGAACTTTCATAAGATTAAAGATAAGAGAATTAGTAGAAATTTTATAATAGCTATAAAATTAATCTTATAAATGAAAAGAATGATCCCTCCACATAAATGCAAAAAACTTGGGAACTTCAAATTCGAGTTCCACATGAACGAGAGTAGGACGAAAAAGTACAAAATAAGGTAGGAAAGAAGACTTTACTTGGGTGGACTCAAATAGTAAGGAACAACTTTAGTTTCATCTGACTAAAGAAGACTCCTATTTATTAGATGGCTTTTAATGATTCCACTAATAAGAAAAGCATGTCTTATGATGAGCTATATGATACAATATGTGATTTGAATGAAATTTTTATTAAATTAAATAAAAAGTATCTTTCTTTGAAGGAGCAAACTAACTTATATCTTTATTATGTTGAGTTTTAGAATAAATTACAATGTGATTGAGATGGGATAGTTGAGATATGTCAAAGGGTGCTACAATAAATGCAACATGAAGAATTGGTTCTAATAATTATCGTCACGATGGTTCCCTTTAAGTAGGCCATGTTGATAGGAATAACTCAGTCTATCATGTCTATTCTCCAGGAATGTAGCAATTGAAGAGATGGGACAACAGAGATTAATAACTTTTGCAATGTTGATATACTATTGAGGCCTCATGGAGAAGATTCGCCACTTGTTTTAGGGTCTTTGCCAAGGAAAAATTGAATAATGATTCCCTCATGGTGATCTCATGGGTTGCTCATGGAGTGACTCTTTCTCCTATTTGATGCTTAATAGTCTGAGTGGTCTTCAAGGACCCCTCTAAAAATTGAACAGAGCAAAAACTTCCCTATGTAACTTATCAAAAGAGTGGATAATTCCTAGAAAGAGGTAAGAGAGCTGCCTCCATTCCAAGTGCACTTGAACCCTCTAAAAATTGAACAGAGCAAAAACTTCCCTATATAACTTATCAAAAGAGTGGATAATTCCTAGAAAAAGGTAAGAGAGCTGCCTCCATTCCAAGTACACTTGAAGGTCATTATAAAAATACAATAACATATGATAAATGATACAATATAAGTCATACTCAAATCATTGAAATCAGCCAGATGCTCAAATAGATCCACCGAGCTTTTATAGCTGCCTAGTTGGGGGCTTTTAAACTTCAGATGAATTACTTTTTCTATGATTTTAGTGGAGAACGTAGAGGAGAACAGTGGAAATTTTGACATAGGCTCAACTATAAAAATATCATAGAACAATCACTTTCCACTGGGTCTGAGAGTATGACCAATAAGAGCAACCAAAGCATTTTTCTTTAACAAACTGATCAAATGATTGATTTGTAAGCCTAGTTAAAAAGAGTACAAATGATTGATCAAATGAGGAAAATGTGGACTGCTATACAATCAGAGTATAAAAGAAGACGTCAAAACAAGATCTTATATGATTGAGAAAACATAAAAACATAGACAATAATAGATATCATCAAAATTTATAAAAATTTGATATGCAAATTTACATCCATTTTAAAAAATTATCTTGCACTATAGCTACAGAATTTGACAGTTAGGGATGAAGAGACTATTAAAAGGTTTTTCTTAGGTGACGAAAGACACAGAGTTGTTAGCTGTTTCATTGCATATCAAGGTGAGCAAAGATGCACAGCAGCAAATAAAATTAAGTGTGAATGCCAGTTCCTATAAAAGAAAAAAACTATAAAATACAAGGGTTTTCATTATGGCTTCTGGAGGTTAGGAAATTCCATCTCATATAAATGTGAAAGAACATGCACAGTAATAACAAAAAAATGGAGTGAATGCAACTCCTATAATAGTTATAATTATGACAAAAAATTGCATGATCTGGTAATACTACAGAAAATAGAAAATGTTCAAAGTAATTTGATAATAGAAGATGACAGAATTAGAAGTATGTCAGATGAAGCAGCAAACAAAAATAAATGATAAATGATAATAAAATTTTATAAATATAATCCTAAATAATTTGAATAAAAACTAATACTGATAATAATGCGTCATTAGGGCAGTCAATTAACTCTCTTAACATGAAACACAATGTCAATATTAACTTTGTATAAAAAATAATGCGTACTTACAATTCATCAATCAGCTAGCAGCATTGTTACACCATGAATGCAAAAAATTGACCCCAACTTTTTGGGGCAAAATAGCTCCAGCTTCTTAAACCTCAAAAAAATCAAGAAAATGAATAAAGCTACTGAGCAACGGCTCAACTATGCAAAAAATCATGAATCCATCATCCTATTTAGGAAAACCTGAGCAAAAAAAAAAAAAAACCCCATCAATTAGTGAAGTATAAGTGAGCTTCCTAGCAGAATCTTCTAATTCATCTTTCTCAATGCCACAGCTTACTGCAGAAACCATTCCGTGGCCTCTTGCAGTTTACAATCTCAAAAAAGGTATCAAGGAGCTGCCCTGCAAGGCAACTTGGCTCTTCAATAAAGGTTCTTATAAATGTGATAACCACCCAACGCTCCTGCTCTGTGGACCTGAAGCTGAGCCATGTTAAAAACTTCATGCGAAAATCCTTCTCAATGAGACCCAAACATTCCAGCCATCTTATCACTTTCACACAGTACTCATAATTCTCATCCAAATTATTAGAGCCAACTGAAAATTCAAGCCGTGGTGCACTAACTAAAGTGCTATCACCATCACAACCATCAGTGAATCCATTTTTCAATGGCTTCCTACAGTCCGGCCAGGATTCAACTGCTGGTACCTTTCCAACCACCCTTACCGCACAAGTCTGGTAATCACCTCTTCCAGTTGATCTTTCAAGACCACTCTTTTCTAATGTGCATCCATTCTCCTCTGGTGAGGACCCCATAGGCAGGCTAAAATCATCATTGAGATCAGGAACTGAGGCTACATTTAAATCAAGCTGACGGGGAGCAGAGGTCTTCAGTAGATCCCCTTCTGCATTAATGGACTTTGCTGCACCACTTCCTACGTAGGATTCGTCTACCACATCATCCTCCTGGTATAACTCATCAGAGTCCTCTTCCTGAGCCCAATTTGGACTAAAAATCCTCCCGAGATTCCGAACTTTGAATCCAGAGGATTCAGCATTTGGGTCCTTTGAAGCTCTCACTGTATTGGACAAGCAACCAACCATCCCGGTTTGCTTTTTGTCTTTGTCAGTTATCTCCACACTCCTGGTAAAGCACCTAGATTCTGAATGGCCCAAATCTCTATCATCTGAGAATGAAATAAGTCGGAAAGCATAGTCTGTGCAGGGTAAAAGGTTTGGAACTAAAATCCTTTGTTGAGCTTTAGGAATGAGGACAGGATCTTTCCCAAGCATTTCTTCCCCACTTTTGCAATACCAAAGTTTGTAACCTTTGATTGCATCAGATGCTTGCAAGCATGATTCGTTCAGAACAATCACGACTGAAGAAGATGATATCTCTTCAAAATGAAAAGTAAAGGCAACAGGAGGAGAATCTGCAAGAAAAATTCAGCTGTTTCATAAATTCAGAAGGTGAAATAACCGTATTTCAGAAATAAAGATGCTCCAAACCAAACCCACCTCTGTGCTTTACAATAGATCGGCTAAAACAATTTAAAAATTCTTCTGCCTTCATAATTGCAAGAGAACATAGATTTTGCACATCACTGACCACAGAAAGCCTGCCCACATTACCACGAACTATCCTGGTTGACAACCAATTCACGGGACCAATTTCAGTCTCCAGCATTCCCATAGCATCTTCAATAATTTTATGCAATTCTTTAAACTTAGATGTGCCGTTCAAAAGTCTATAAGTCAAAGATATGCGCGAGCAAAGAATGTCTACTTGCTGAGCATCTTTTGCTATGGCTAGCTGCTTCTTCCAGAACCTGTAGAAAACAATCAGCTTTAACACACCTTCACACAAGTATCAAACAGCAGGTTCTGAATTACAAGCTTTCCAACTGAAGTATTAAATAATTCAGCTCACTCCACTCAAGCCAATAGTAAAACTGACAATGATCATAGGATTCAGCTTTTATATTATCATAGACATTATTTGATTGAAAATTTTTCGTCGGCAAAACCAACTCATTTTGAAAGTTGTAATGCAAGTTATCATTTACCTTGGTTAAGAAGTAGGGCTGTCAAAACGGCTTGTTGTTTGTGAAAAGCTTGTGTTCGGCTCGTTAAGATAAGAAGCTTGTGTTTTGTTTGATTCGTTCGCTAAGTTAATGAGCCGAACACGAACAATTTTTTTGCGCTCGATATATAAACGAGAAGAAAACGAAGAAAAATTTGTTCATTCGTGTTTGGATCAATTTTGGCTCGAAATAATAAGTAAAATAAAAATAAAATAAAATAAAATAAAATAATATATATATATAATTGATGAGTAGTACATTTAAAAATTTTAATTGGCTACAAGGCTACAATGATTTATAATCAAGTAAAATTATTAATTAAAAAATATAATAAAAGTAAATTAAATTATATTTAAATGACATTTTAATATAAATAATATGATTTAAATCATGCCCCAACCCTTATCATTTTACGGCTGCATGACTAGGGTTGCCAAAGTAACTATTTGTTCGTGAACAGCTCGTGTTCGGCTTGCTAAACAAACGAGTTGAACAAAAAAATATTTTTTTGTGTTCGAAATATAAATGAGCCGAACACGAACTGTAGTATTTTTTAACGAGCCTAGCATGAGCTAAGCTTGGGCTCGCTCGTGTTTAGCTCGTTCCCACTAGGGCTGTAAACGAGCCGAGCTTGAGCGAGCTCACGCTAGGCTCGTGTTCGGCTCGTTCGAAATCGGCTCGTGAACAGTGTGTTTGTGTTCAGCTCGATTTAAATATTCGTGTTCGTGTTTAACTTTAGACATAAACATATATATAATATATTATTATATAAATAATATATGTAATATATTGTTATATAAAAAGTTATATAATTTTTGTTTCGAGCCATTTCGAGCCGAACACGAGCGAACAAACTGTTGTTCATGTTCGGCTCGTTTACATTTCGAGCTTAAAAATTTGTTCGTGTTCGGCTCGTTAGGCTTAACGAACGAGCTGAACACGAGCTGTTTAACGAGTCGAACACGAGCTGTTCACGAACGAGCTGTTCACGAACAACGAGCCAAATTGACAGCCCTAGTTCCCACCCCTAGTTAGAAGTGGTTCCAAAGTACTTGTTGAATTCAAATAAAACATAAAATATAATTACAACAAAGATAAAAACAGAAGGATACACAAAGCTCACCCCGAAACAAGCTAAGGCTGTAAATGATCTTGATGATGTTTTACAGGTTGAGCAAGCATAAAATTCTAGATATTAAGGTCTTTTATCCAGCCCTAAGGAAAATTAATGCAACGGAAAGAATTTTTATTTAAACATTTCCATGCAATAGCCGACATGATGGGATAAGATCGGTGACTCAAGGGACTGAACTAATATAGTTGAAGAGAACAATGGTAGGGTGAGACCTTTGTGAGTTTGTAACATCTGTCTTGACAAACATGACCCGAAAGAAAAGCATGACAGGCAAAATTGAGCCACCAACTTAAGAATTGACAGAAAGATATACTAGCTTCTAGCCTGCTGACTTTGGGGCGACAAGTCAAATTGTCTAATGGCATAGTTGACTTGGAGTCAGCATGCATGTAGAGCTCTTGGCATTCACTTAGTTTTTGCCAAGAGATTGGCATCTAACACTGCTAGGTTATGCCTATTTGATGACACAACAGACCTATAGCATATTTCCTTTATGAGATATGCACTTTGTTATATGCAAATTTGTTTGGACGCTCCAGAATTTTAGTGACAAATATATTATGAACATACCGTTTTATTTCATAAATGTTTTAAGCAGCTTTTCGAGTGAGAACAACATCAACATACTCGAGAATCGTTGTGCCAAAGAAAATATAAAATGATCAGTTGTGCTACTTCAACGACTAATATCAGTAGTAATCTTACAGATCTTGCCAAATCAAGCATGAGGTCTTTGCTCCAATTCATATATAAATTTCCAATGTGTAACACCCAGTTTTGCAAAAATTATGTGAAAATTTTGACGATTATAAAATATTCTCAAATTTCGCATTTCTCAAAATTCGACGGAGTCAATTTTATTTTCTCAAATTGATATATTGCAACCTGTATGAATTAAAAACACATGCAAAGTTACAAAAGTTTGAAGCTATAAACTTAATGAACTTTAATTAACCCCTTAATTAATTCCCTAATCCCATTCAATGTTTCCACTGACCTTATTACACGGATCTCAGTCGTTTGATGAAATCAAATGGCTGTGAGTCAGTTTTGCATAGATGACTTATGAATATACTTATGATTATACATGAATGGATGAAACACATGTTTTATTCAGTTGTCATGATTTTTTGCATTATATGTCTTTTCTTTTACATGTTTTATACGATTATAGCATGTTGTGACATGTGTTATGGATATATACATGAACTACATAAGACCATACATGTTTCTTTTCCGTCTAATTTTTTTTTTTTTATCCTTGGTTATTTCATTGAGCTTGTTGTAGCTCACTCTATATTGTTGACTTTCACGAAGAGATAAGGAGCAACAGGGCGAGTAGCCAGGTGTGGCATGTACAATTTTTGCATTATATAATGTAAAAAGCTGTATAGATTTTTAAGTGCATACTTTTATTATTTTAGATTTAGCAACTATCTATATAAATTTTAGTGATATGATTTTTTTCACGCTTTCAAGTATATGTGAATGTGAATGAATTATAAAATAAAATGTATCATATACAATTACGTTAATTTAATTAGACTATGGAATTGTTGGACAGCAAACAAAAGAAATGCTAGGGAAACTTGGCTAATCAATCTTAGCAAATATTGGGAACAAGAAGCCAAAGCTCTGATACCAAAAAGATTCCGGAAAATGGTCTGTATGCAAAATTCAATAAGAAGATAGAGAGAAAATGAAAATAATAGAAATTAGAAATAAAAAAAAAATCAAAGAAACGGAACATTAAACAAAGAAAGCTACGAGATATAAAAGTTTCCTACTCCCGTAATCGATTGTGATACAAAAATCACCATCATAATGATTAATGAAGAAAGAAAACTAGAGATATCACCACCAACAACACAGAGATACAGTTGTCACCACCCAACATCACGGTCAGAGACTCGTTCCCAACCGGGAATCATAAAGAGATCCCTAGCCTCAAAGAGCTCATATGAACCAAAAAACATCCATAAAACGCAAGAAAACACCTATTTATAAACACTAAGACCCTCCTAATTACAAGTGTTCCATCCAAATAGAAAAACACACAAAAATAGAGAGTGAAAAATATAAAAACTGAACTTTAACATAAGGTGAACTCAAATGACTCGACAAACCTATTCCGGATCAAGATTAAAACACTTCGTGTCATTCTCATCGAATGGGATGAGCTTTTCATCTCCATGGAATCAATCTCTTTCAAGCGAACCCATATGCAATACAACTCTTGCAAACAGCAGTCAATAAGGACCCTCGTGATTTATATATACGCATATGATGAGTTGGATCCACTTTTGATTGTTTCTTGTTGTTCTTTATATCACATATTCCACCACAGTTGTCACCATAGTAGCTTTTTGGAACATGAACATAACCCGGAATCAAGTTCAAGTTCTAGACACCTGAATACTGAACAGGCAACAAAAAATCGTCAAGATGATAAAGAGTCTACAAGAATCCAATTTTTTTCTTGATCCAAACTGGTTATGAAATTTCAGTAACTTGATTTATAGGCTTCTCAGTCTCCAAGAAACAAGGATATCACATAGCCTTCATGCTAAATCTTAGTCTGGTAGATCCTTGCTAAATTTAGTAACCCTCTTGTTAGTATCATTTTGGTATTAAAGCAGTCCTTTCTTGGGCTACTCAGCTCGAATCAGGTTCCACTGTTGTCCGGATGTTTGAATTTCTTCTGGCCAGCCGCAGAAGTCTGTTGTTCGGCTTCTTGATACCACTACTTGACCAGAAGTGGCGAACATAAATTTTTCTTTGATTTGCTTCTTGATCCCATTACCATCCTGCATTTGTTGTGGTTCTTTCTAATCAAGGATGTTGCCACGAAGAGATATTGCAAGACCCAATCTAGACCTAGTTATGAAAAACTTACGATGTGCAATCTAGCGACTACGGGAGTGGCTTGTGATCTTAAAGCATTATGGAACCCAACTTAGATGCAATGGAGGAGGAAGAAGTTGAAAATTCTTTTCACCAAGAATCTTACAGTGATGAGGCGCAACACCTATGTGAATAGAGGAGGGAAAGACACCACAAGGTTGCTGATTTTGGAATCAAGATTGACATGCCGTATTTTGAATGTCGGCTAGATCATGATGAATTTATTAATTGGCCACATACGGTAGAGAGGTTTTAAGACGTGTTTGTTTTCTTTTGGGAGGTTTCGGTCCATCTAAACCTTGCCCTGTAACTGTATCCTGGATTGGCACTTAGGTGATGTTTAGTCATTATCTTGTTTTTCAGTTATTCACTATTGGCACCCAATTGATCTTAAAGCATCGTGCAACCCGACTTGATGCAATGGAGGACGAAGAAGAAAATTCTTTTCACCAAGAATCTTACAGTGATGAGGCACAACACCTATGAGAGTGGAGGAGGGAAAGACACCACAAAGTTTCTGATTTTGGAATCAAGATTCACATTCCCTATGTTGAATGTTGACTAGATCATGATTAATCGGCCACATATGGTAGAGACGTTTTAAGACGTGTTTGTTTTCTCTTAGGAGGTTTCGGTCCATCCAAACCTTGCCCTGCAACTGTATCTTGGATTGGCACACATGTAATGTTTAATCATTATCATATTTTTTTATTTTGTTCGGTATTATTCACCGTTCTTTCCCCCTTTCTTAATTCAAATACCCCCCCCCCCCCCCCCCCCTCTTCCTTACCAGTATTATTATGTGAGAATGTAGAGACAGAAAAAAAGACTAATCATATTCACAAGCTAATGGAAAAGATGAGTGAACATGAGTGAAACCCCAAAAATGTTGCAAAAAAACTATGACCTAGATGATAATGTCATTGATAAAGTGAAATATAGAAGAATCAATGAAAGTAGTATTAATGAAATAGCAAATACCTTCAATTTCAACGCCTCCGCCAATCATCTTCTTGTTAAGATCTTAAACACGGTAAGCAAGATAAAAAGTTGTGGAGAAGTGATGATATTCAATAAAATAAGGTTTATAGAAAATTATAAAACATATAAAATATTGTATAAAGTGTAAGAGGAATGGATGGGTCCTTTTTTAAAGATAAGAGAGAAAAATCTACCAACAAAAATAAGTACGAGTAATATCATGGTTTGTGATGAAAATATCTTTTCCTTAGTTGGCAAAAGGAAGAATCATCATAATCTAAAATACAATACATGCTAGAATGAGCTACTATAATTGAATCAAAAAAGAAAGTCATAAGAGACCGAACTAGTCAACTGATTCTATTGGGCTAGTCAATCATATTCTCTTAGGAAAGAGAGACTGCACTAGAACAAGTACCATTATAATTAATAGGGGTGGTGATGGACAAGATGAGTTTTCTAAGGATAAAAATCTTTTTTCTATCAATTATTAGATAAATGATTGGTCCTTCGACAATGTTTATAGGAAGAAAAAAGTTGCAGCCACATCTACAATTACTCTTTAGTTCTATGGACATGGCAGTTAGATCAAGCCCAGAAGAAGGCAAAGCTGATAACTTAGTAGTGATCTGAAGAACTCATATGAGAGCGATGAAGATGTTAAGGATAGTAGAGTTGGCAAACAATTGAAATTAAATAGATTGCAGATATATATAAAGGTCAGAAAAACTATGATAAGAGACTCCAAATTTTAGTTTTTTGTAAAGGAGTGGGCCAATAGAATAGGGATGATATTAAATAAGTCTGTTCCATTTAACTTTCGAATTGTAGTGTCACTAAATAGACTCTTACCATATGGCAAAGGGAATGCCAAAGTAGAAATTTTATAACCCTGAGATATTGCTCTGAAAAGTATGAACGGAAATAATTTTACAACATTTTGGTCTTCTCTTGAATCATGATAGTAGAAGCAATAGCATGTTCAAGGCTATTAAGCATACATTTGTAAGGGTGTCCATCCAACATCATGATTGTAAATAATTTGTGTTCAACTCATTATGCAGCTTATATATGATTCATTAATTAACTAAAACCTGAACATTACAACAATATTCATATTTGATTCCTCAACGAACTGAATACAACAAAAGCTTTGTTCATTTATGTTCAAATTTTTTAAGATATACACAATTACATACTAAATATGTAGATATATTTTGTTGAAACTAATGCAAAAATTTAAGGCTTTGCTGTTGTTGTAATGCAAAAATTAACTCATAGTGTAGCATAGCATATGGTTTAAAAAGTGTTTCATTTGATGGTATGTTGTGTTTATTTAAGTTTATAAACAATTCAAAAAGAAATAGCTTAGCATAATAAAAGAACATCAAACTTTAGCAGACACAAACATAAAAAATAAATAAAGAGAAACTTTTAACAAATTAAACATGAATAAAAAATTATTAATTATGTATAAGATCCACAGGCAAATAACACAGTAAAAAACTTATCATTTGGTGTATTTCTTGGTGTCCATATGTTCGGGAAATGAATAAACTTGATGATTAAGGGGGGTTGTTTGGTATTTCTTTTGATTTCTTTTTTTTTATATATGTGTGTACTTAAAATAGAACAAGTTTCGTATATTATAACATGTTCAGTTGTTTTTAAAAAACAATCCAAAGAAATTTTAGGTATTTTGAGTGTTTTTATAGACAAGCTAATCTGTTTTAAAAAAAAATAAAAAAATATGCAAAATATACACTAAATAAATAAGTTATTAAAATAAAAAAGAAAAGTGATCTCAAAGAAACCCCAAGTATCTCATAAGATCTTAAACGAAAATAGAAGGCCCCATGAACACAAGGGATAGTTGGTAACCACGAGTATGATAGTTGTACCATAGCAAATGTGAGTTTTTCCTCTTAGAGAGTATTAGAGAAATTTATCGATGAAAACAATCAACAGTTGACAGAAGAGTTCAAGAATGACTATTATAAATCATAGATCAAGAAAAGTTGTGCACAAAGTGCACAATGATAGCTAATAAAAAAAGCGCTCAAGCAAGGACAAAAGATGTACAAGTATGGAAGCAGGTATATGAGCGAGCGTGTGAGCATGCTCACTTAACAATGATTCGCTAAGCAGTTTTGGGTGATTAGAGAAATCATATGAGCATAATGGTGAAGGCATGAGAAAGTGTCAGCAATCCTAAAGTCAAATGTAGGCAAGATGCAAATGAGCAAACAAACATAAGCCAATGGCTACAAGAAACGTTGTGGCTAAGAGTGCATAGGGCAAGGGTAGAAAGTTTGTGGGCGGCTAGATCAAGAATGAGGAAGTGAGAAGGAGGAAGCAAAGGAAGAAAAGGGTAGCTAGAGCAAGAGCAAACCTAAGATTCCAATGTTTGATAGGAAGGCTGTTTCATTATATCTCACCAACTGAACACTAGCGCATATATACATAGACAAGCATGAAGAACATGAAAGAAAGATAAGAAGTTATATTGCAATGATAAATAATCTTTTCAATCCAGTGCTTTCCTACGATTATAAGAAATATGAAAATGTTAAATTTCATCACATGATACTTGATAGCTTTGATGAGTTAACCTCCCTATCGATACTGATGATCATTAATTAATACGTTACCCCTTTATGTTTTCAAGCCATCCGAAAACTTAAATGTATGAAACCAAGATGAACTGTTAAATACATAGAGGCATAGAATGTATGCATCTAGTGCTTGTATGAAAATGATACTTTAACTTAAATACTAGATATGAACGATACTATAGCCGCCAGATGCGTCAAAGTGAAAACATTCTCATGGAATGATGGTTGTCAATACTATGAAGGTGTAGGCCCTCTAGGAGAAAATTGATAAGGTTTGGAGGTATGGTTGCATAAGTAAGCTGCACTTAGAATGACTACATGATAATGTACAACCATAGCATCGGTGTATGCCAAAGACTTTATTCCATTATTTTCCATGCTTTGACTACTTCCCATTTTCATGATGAAGCCTAAATTATATTTTCATGTTCTTGATACTTCAGAATTAAAGATTTATACATATACACATAATTTTCTCATAGTTTCCACCTCCTAGTTGACGAGTCAGCACAAGAAAGTACCGTAAAGAAACATAGAAGTTGTAAGCAAAGAGGAATCGACGAGAATTACAGAAATTTGGTTCCGTAGATTTGGCCTTGCTTGTCGGGCAACAATGTCAAACTTGTACAATTATTTTAAGTTTTAAATGAACTTAAATTTACTTATTTTAAATTTTGCTCGTAATTCTTTTTTATCTACACATGCTTTCTGAATATCAACTGTCTGGAAACGGATGATAAGCATAGGCACCAAATTTGGGTAACATCTTGTGGTCGAAAGATTTTAGGCACCAACTCAAGGGAAAAGAATTCTAGGTGCCATGCCCCTCAAACTCAGAGAGACCATTCCTATTGACTCGCACAAGCAGGTTGATTTTGGATGAGAGGCTTTAAGTTGAACAGTTTGAACAAGCTGAGTCATGGAGGTATTCATAATAGCAGTTATGTTATACTCGTATGCTCACTTCAATCCATTTTGAACACACCAATTATGAAATGACACAAGTACTAGCAAATGTTTTCTCTGTAAATGCAACATGGAGAATGAAAATATTGTAGCACTTGGACAAGCAACTCGAAATTTCTACAATTCAAATTCAACAAATACATTATCTGCAGATGGTACCTACAAAACCATAAAAAACATTGAAAAAATCCAAATAAGAGAGAAACAGGAATTTTCACCATGAGCAAATAGTTAACAAACTTACCCTATTATATCAGATACCTTCCCACATGAAGCACAGCAGTAACTACCATCAAGCTGCATAAATTGGCCAAGATCAACTACACCTGCCTTTTTATGTTGAAGGGCACACTCGATGTGGCAAGACAATCCACACCAATCTCCATTGCCAGACTCAGATTTACAGACCAACCAAAGACTAGGGTCCATCCTGTCATCAAAACGGTGGCAGATGCAACACGAGCACTTCCTACAAAATCTATCCTCAGAACTCAGAATAGCTTTACAAGCAGAATTCTTACACAATAATATTGTATAATCTAAGGTATTTGTGAGAAGAACCCGAACAGGATTGTCACACTTTCTTGGATGCTTTTTAAATGACCGACTACTAGTCAAAGTAGAATGGTTTAACTGTTTCTTTGAATCTAGAGTCCTGCATCTAAGGGTTGATTTGGATAATTCAATGCTCACATTGCATTTTGACAAACATTGTTGCTTCTTCTCTTTCTCAATATTTGTATGCACAATCTTATTCTTTGGATGAACTTTAGCAAATTCATTCAATTTTTTTACAGTAATAATCATATCAGACTTTCCATTTTCTTTTGGAGCACTTATGGCACTAGAAGATGTGTGTGAATCAACCGCTGCAAAAAACACTATCATAATTAGAAATATCTAGAATGCACTATGCTTTTAGAAGTTGCTTTCTTCAAAACAGAAATCAATTATCTGATGGATTCTTAAAAAAAAAGAAAACAAGACAAGAATTCGGGCCTCAGAATAGCTCAAAAAAGCTAAACTAATGCATTCATATAGATAAGTGCATACATGTTGGTTCAAAAATAGCCTAACCTGAAAATGATAAAGCAAAAGTAGCACTATTACAGCACCGAGAACATCCATATAATAAAGTAATTTGTATCTTAATAAGTCCAATTTCAGATATAAAAGAACAATATTTGTACAGTGACCGCTGGCACCAAGCATTTTAATAAATTTCAAATTTTACAGATAATCCTTAATTGTATGGTTAGTGTAGGATTTTTGGAAGAATAAAATCTCATTTTTCATTAAGCAAATAAGAAATATCTATCTATATATATATATATATATAATGAAAAGTAGGTGTTTGATATGTCAATGGATAGAAATTCAGTGGTATGTATGTAAATCTTCCCGTTATTAAATAATGAAATAGTGTAGAATGTTTGAATTTTACATGTTGATATGGGAAATATATGTATATATATATATATATATATTGAGAAAGACTAAAGGCTAATATATTAAAAAGAAAGAAGAATACAGATAGATTATGTGGGAGGGTCAAGCATGACGCCCAACTCACACGATAACCACCACATACAAATGGTTCCAAAAAGAGAAAATACTGAAAAATACATGAGAAACCTATAGAAAAAAACCATGAGAGACCTAAAGAAAAAACCAAAGTGTCAAAATACGTAGTATCAAGTAGCTAGAGAACGACCCAATTTTGCCTTGCATCTGCCTCTAGTTCTAGGAAAGGAGCTAACTAATAAATTGGTAAAGTGTGTCATTACCAATAGTAACCAATATATCATCCAGTAAGTTCCCGAGTTCGAGTCGGCCTCCATTCTTCTTCTTCCTCCTGGAATAGACCTGTCTTTCTAAATGATCTCAAGTTTTGGGTGACCATAAAGGAATTTCCCCAATAGAGCAAAACGCCAAGAAGACGCAAAGCAAAACGCCAAGAAGACGCGAGAGTACTGGTTTCAACCTCAGTGAGAATAAGAGCAGACTTCCCATTTTTTTTTACCAAACTTTTTAATGAAAGTGTAATCACCACCACCTTCAAACGCCTCGTGGAAAGATTGTGGAACATTGCAGGACTTGCTAATATGAAAACCAGATTCTGAATCTGAAAAAGGAGCACGAGTAGGAATAGGAAAGTCGTCGGCAAGTGCAGTGGCATAAAAACGGATCGTCAAAGCCATCTCCAGAGAGGCTAGGTGAGCCGATAGAGAAAGGCGAGCAGACTTCGGGGAAGGGAAACTGTCTATCGGGCAAGGCGATAGAGGCACGTCGAGTATGAGAGAGACAACGCGAGTCGCGACGGCTAACGAGGAGCTGCGAGCGAGCGTCATAGACTGCGGGTGAGGAGATACGACGCGAGCGAGCGACGTCGAGAGGAGGACGACTACGAGCGAGCGTCGTCGAGAAAGCTGCGAGGGCATGAAAACGTCGTCGCAGGAGACGACGGAGAGAAAGAGAAAAATCGAGGAATCACCGTCGGGAATCGCCATCAAGCGAAACCCTAGCAGAGTCCATTGCAGCTGTCGACACCATTTTCAATATATATATAGCTCAGCCTAACCTTCATACAATTGCAGGGAAAATTGATTCTTCATGATAAAAAAAGAAGGAAATAAAAACACAATAATAGATAATTAAGGTAGAATAATTTCTCCCCCTCAAATGCATTTCCTAAAATGGATATGCATATCAACACTCCCCCTTAAATTGGGTTGCATATGTCATACATCCCAAACTTACCGCTTAGATCACTGAAGTCGTGCCGAGGAAGACCCTTAGTAAGAATATTAGCAATTTGATATCGAGTTGGGATATAACTTAGTTGAAAAACCCCTCCATTGATCTTCTCAGAGATGAAGTGCCTATTAATATCTGTATGTTTGGTTCGCTTATGGTGTACCAGATTCTTTGAAATATTGATGGTGAGTTGACTATCACCAAACATCTTAATAGGGTTTTGGTTTTTCATGTGAAGTTTCAATGGTAGTTTCTTTAGCCACATCCCATCACAAATTCCAAGGGCCAAGCATGATACTCAAATTTTGCACTGCTTCTTGCCACCGCAGCTTGATTTTTACTTCTCCAAGTAGCAAGATTGCCCCATACAAATGAACAGTACCTCGTGGTAGATCTTCCATTAGTCATTTCTCCTACCCATCTAGCATCAGTATAGATTTCAATATCACTGTTCTCATTCTTTTTTAATATCAATTCACGTTTTGGAGTCATCTTTAGGTACCTCGGGATTCAAAAATTTGCTTCTAAATGATCTTCATTTGGGTCATTCATACGTTGACTCACTTTATCCATAGAAAAAGCAATATCAGGTTTTATCCTCTCCTTTCGATGCTCGTCAATTAGGATTTATATGAGTATCAATTGGTTTGCATCCCAACTTTTTTATCTCTTTTAATAGGTCAAAGATATATATATTCTTTAGGATATGACAATGGCTTTTTTGGATCTAGCTACCTTCCATTCCTAGTGAGTTATCGTAAAGTTCCAAGATCTTTGATCCTAAATTTAGGGGTCAGTATTTTTTTTATTCTTTCAAGTTCCACCACATCATTGTCTGCAAGAATAATGTCATCTACATATACAATAAAGATGACTATCATACCTTGATTTCATTTCACAAATAAAGTGTGATCAATCTAACACTAATAATACCCATTGGTAAGAATAATATTGGTGAACATTTCTCAAACCATGCTCTGGAAGACTGTTTCAAGCAATCAATGATTTCTTTAGTTTGCACATCAACCGATTATTTATGTTGTTTTTTAATCATGGAGGTATCTCAATATACCCTTCATCCTCAAGATACTCATTAAGAAGTGCATTTTTAATGTCTAGCTGATGTAAAGATATGTCCTGATTTACAGCCAATGATAATAATAGTCTTATTGTGCTAAATTTCACCACTAGTCCAAATGTCTCCTAGTAGTTGATCCCATAAGACAGGGTGAACCCTTTTGCTACAAGTCTAACCATGAACCTTTCTATGCTCTCATTTATTTTGTATTTAACAATGAATAACCATTTGCACCCTAAAATTCTTTTCCCAGGTGGCAGAGTTATTATGATCCATGTACCATTCTTTCAAATGTAAGAATCTCTTCTTCCACAGTGTGTTTCCAAGCAAGAATGGAAAATGCCTCTTGGATTGAATTTGGGACCTGCACATTATCTAAAGTTCTGAACAAAAAATTTGTAAGAGAATGATAATTTTCTATGTCACAAATCCTTCTATCGAATATTTTGTGCATTCTTGTGCTTCGTCCACTTGGTGTTCATAATGTATTGATCCAACCTTTGTATGAATACTTAGGGTGTGTAGAGTTGGCTTCAGTGAGTTGCATTCTAATTTTGCATATAACCCCTTAAATGCTGACTAGGTTTTTTCTTTCAATTTTACACACGAAGTTCTTAGTTCTTTGTGGGAGCTGTAAGAGAATTTATAGAATAATAGACTCATTTTCTGGTTGATTTATGATAGTGGGAATAAGAGTGGGCTCATCAAGGATATAAAGGAGGTGAGTTTGAGGTTTCTGAATGTTATCCCAAACTAATATTCTCTCATACTCTTCCCCTAAATGTTAACTTTGGGGTAAAAATGATGGTTTTCAAAGGTGGCATGAACCGTGTTAGATGGTAGAAGGTAAAACTCTTCTTGTTGAGGGTAAGGATTTCCACTAGAAAGGGAAAATGTCTTCACCGACACGGGATTTCGTCTAGCATGAGAAACTGTCTATCGCCAACACATAATTTTTATCCAAGCAAAAAATTATCCATCATCGGCACCCAGAAGGAAAATTGTATGTCGTCGACATAGGATTTGCACCAGAGATACAAAATCATAAGTTGGATCTCTCTGGCTTCCAGTTGATAAAAAGTCACCAAGACCCCTAATAAATCCACTAGAAATTAAAAATCGAATGACGAGGTCTCTATGATTTCCGCTAGAGAAAAAGCCAACCGCGGTTCTCTATATGATTTCAACCTAAGAGAAAATCAAACTTCAGGGTCCTTGTGATTTCCACCTATGAGATCAAATCAAACTCCAGAGTCTCTTCAACTTAAACTACAGAGCGAAAATCAAACCTTGGGGTCTTTGTCATTTCCACAAGAGAGAGGAATCAAACTTCTGAGTCTCCAGAATTCTACTTAAGAGAAAAAGAATTCTCGATGTGTCTACGTCGATTCAATGCGCATGCCTGGGTAGCAAAGCCTAAGGAAAGCAGTGGGTATGCCGGCAGAACTACCGGAAAAAGAAAATTCCACACGTCGTTGCTGCCTAGTGAAGGCCGCCACTTCTTCCTAGAGGAAATCACTGCTTCTGCCTGGATGAAACCGCCTTGTTGCCTGGAGAAGACCGTTATTTTTGTTGAGAGAAGATTGTCATTATTGCCTAGGAGAGTTCGGCTGCAATAACAAAGGAATTCAAACAACTACAAGGAAGATTTCGGCTGCTCGACAGCTGTTGGAGAGGCTTCGGCGGCTCAAAGAAAAGCTAGAGTTTGTTTCCATGTAGAATTTTTGGAGGAATAAACTATCATTTTTTCATTAAACAAATAATATATATATTCTATAGGTACACATAAATCGTGTTCTTTCCCTCCTTCGTTTGAGTGGGCACAGAACATCAAGAAATCTGGTAGAAAGCATGCGATGTTTGTCATCTTTTCACAGAAGCTAAAGGTATTCAACTTCCTTCCTCCTCTCGACTGAATTTGATCGTAAAATTTTTGTATCAGCATCCCAAAATAAAACTGATTCGTAAGGAATTTGAGCTTATGCACATTTTTGGGAAGTGGAAAATTGAACTGTTAGATGGAAGACACATTCTTATACAACTAAA